CTACTACTACTACTACTACTACTACTACTACTACTACTACTACTACTACTACTACTACTACTCCAAGAAGGAACCTGTGCTGGTGAGCTGAGGCAAGCCAACAACGCTGACCATGTCGGAATGGCATGACTGCGGGGTCTAGGCGTTATCGAGAGCTTGCGCACCATAAGGAGTCTGGAGAGGAGGGTAGAAAAGATGGAGAGGGGATAATTGCGTGTGAAAAAAAGAGAAGACAGAATGGAACTAGAGGGGACTATTGTGGTAGGTGAGGATGTCAGATGGGAGTGCAAAGATGTATGGATCATGGGGGGAGGACAGGGCCTGAGGCGTATACATGTACATACATAATGTTAGAACCAGTGTTAGGTTATATAATACCATGTTCATACATGTACAAAAAAAGTCATGTACATAATTATGCAATAATTATGTACAATAGTCATGTACATGTACATGTACAATGTACGTACAGTAGATCCACACCAGGGAGTACTACAATGTTTATGGGGCCGGGGTTGGAGCAGGGCAGGGAGTCGACTCCTCCTTTGGCTTTTGTCTTTCTAAAGGACAAACGTGCCGCAATACAAGTAACAGTAGTTTCTTCTTGCTCAGTTTTGTTTTACAGCTGACATTATGCCACCTGGTCCTCAGGCTGCCAGAGCGGGTGGCCAGTGGTCAATGGTCATGCATGGAATCTTGCTGTGCTACTCTGTGTATGTGACCACTGTCACCGGCCATCATTTCATGAGTTCCTCCTGGCTCTGGTCTGGGGCCTGGGCCTCATCAGTCAGTAAGACAAATCCTGTGACTTCGCCACCAGAACTGACTCGATGGCGGTCAAACAAAATTGGGCCACCTTTTTCCAGGAGACGTATGCACTTCGACAGGGGGGGGGGGGGGGGGGGGGGGTGCAGGACAACATACCGCCCCCCCCCCTCCACATTGGCCTCTATTCCCTGGCCACGGGAAGCCGGGGAAGGTGAAATAAAATAAATAAACTAAAATAATAAAATTGTGTTCTAGCTGGGATGGGGTTTATGAGGCTCATCTAACTACTGGTCTCGGACTCGGGGTCATCGCCACACAAACGCATCTGTGAGTAAGTAGGGTGTGTGTAGTAGGGTGTGTGTGGTTGGGGGGGGGGGGGAGGGGGGGGGGGGGGAGAAGGACAAGAGGGTTGACCATTTGGATCATCGGATTATATAATAGCCATAAATAATTATGGTGAAATGTAGCTAGCCTAGCGAGAAGTGCATTTTACATACATGTACATGTACATGTACATGTACATGTTCCCTTCGGGAACGGATACGATAATTTACTTTTTTTTGTACATGTACATCGTCTGATGAGTGCTTTTGAACACGAAACTCGGAGTAACGGGAAAGCTTTTTGTTTTCCGTTGTTCTGCCTTGTAAATACATGTACAATCATGATCCAAAACTGGTAAACCAGTATTAGATAAACCTTGTTGTAGTTCACACAATTGTTAGATTGACAGCATGAAACAAGGAGGAGGACAATGTGTTCGAAAACAGTGACCTTACTACAACCTTCCGCGGTTGGCAGAGCCTAACGAGGGTCAGAACCGGGTGCGATACCCATAAGGTTCAAATAGTCCGCAGGGACCGGGGCTCTGCCAACCGCGGACGGTTGTAGTAAGGTCACTGTTTTCGAACACAGTGTCCTCCTCCTTGTTTCATGCTGTCAATCTAACAATTATGTACAATCATGTACATGTACATGTAGTAGGCAAAGACACCATGGACATAGCGCGTGCGGGTCATATCCAT